AAGCACCTTTTACATGAAGAAAGAGATAAAATGGCAATATCACAAAACTGGAGTTGGAAAGAACCTTAGGATTCACCTAATGAAACCCACATGTAAAATGTTAATTCTCTCTAAATAGCTCCTATTGTCAGCCTCTGCTAAACCAATTCCAGGTCAGGGCATTTCTTCCCTGGCAACCATTTCGTGATCTACATAACTCTAATTGATAAAGCTTATGAATACGCACTCAAAATGTTTTCACTGAAAACAAAAGGAACAACTAAAAACCTCTTGAACTGCATATATACATTTGTCAAAATTTGCCAAGGATACAGATGCCAATATTGGTTGCTTTGGGACCAGAGTTTTTGATCCTTTAATGAAAAAAAAGGTCTAAAAAATCATTATGGACTTTTGGTTCAAACAATGTCAGCACATTCATTTGAAGCCCCACCTCCTTCCAATTCCCACTGAGCTAACCAAAGAAACAAAAAGTAGGGAAACAGTCAGTGAGGGAAAATGGAGATGGACACAACAAGGTCCTGGCAAGACCAGACCGAGGGGCCTCCTGGCTAACCCACATGCTGTGGAAAAGCCCAGTTAGAGAGAAAGCAGACAAGGGTAAACCTCATTCCAGTGATGATCCTTCAGAAAGTGTATCAGGTGTCAGAGCACACGGACTATAAGACCCTTGGGGTGAATGGCCCTCAGCTCAGACCTCATGCTAAGTGAGGGACCACTGCAGTTAGCTCCTCATCAAAGGGATTGCTTCAGTCAGAGATGCCCTAGCTACTTTTGGACTACTCAAACAAATACATAAAAAAAATTGGGTTAGCCCTGGCCGGTTTGGCTCAGGGTTAGAGCGTCGGCCTGCGGTCCGGAGAGACCCGGGTTCGGTTCCCGCTAAGGGCACGTGCCTCAGTTGCGGTTTGTCCCCGGCCCTGGTTGGTCGTGCGGGTGGCAGCCACTCAATGTGTCCCTTTCACGTGGATGTTTCTCTCTCTCTCTCGAACAAAGAATGAAAAAGTGTCCTCGGGTGAGGATTAAAAAAAAAAAAAAAATTGGGTTAGTCCTGCGGGTGTGGCTCAGTGGATGACTCATGCACCAGGAGGTCGCCGGTTCTATTCCCAGCCGGGACACATGCTGGCTGTGGGCCTGGTCCCCAGTGGGGGGCATGTAGGAGGTGGCCAGTTGATGTTCTCTCTCAATGATATTTCTATCTCTCCCTCTCACTTCCTCTCTCTAAAATCAATAAAGGAAGAAAAAAAGAAATTCGGTCAGTTTCTCAAAAGCAGAGAATTCCATGCTACAGCCACTGCCTTTGGCTGCCTCTCTGGCTGTCATCTCACTAAACACTGGAATGGGATATGGCAAAACAAGACTGAAAGAAATCTAACACTTCTCCTTCCTGCATTTAGGTCTGAAAGGCCTGTTCATAGGTTCACAGCATCTTTGACAGTCAACTTACCCATAACAGACCTCATTATAAAGACAATCAGAGAAAAATAATTGGATTTCATGTGAAAGAACTAACATTTTCCTATGAAACTTCATTACTACAAAAAAAAAAAAAAAAAAAGAGAGAGAGAAAACAAAATATTTCTAGTTTGTATTTTCAACAAGATTCAAGAACACACTGAAAAGGAAAAACTGGAGATCAGATAAAACTTACTCTCTACATACTTGTTTTTATGATTGTATTGGACATGATCATTTACAGGTCTGTCTGCCTTGACTCTGAACTTTCAACAGGCAGGAACTATCCTTTTAGTTATCTCTGAATTCATCGTACAACGCCTGGCATAGCAAAGGTACCAGAATACAATAAATGTTTATTGAATGAGTGAGCAAAATCCCACACTAATTTGATTCTATCAGACCTTCCACTCTTAATATAATTACAATAGTTTTTTTTTTATCAACATCCTTATTTAAAAAATTTTTTTTTTCTTTATTGATTTTAGAGAGAGAGAGGAAGGGAGAGATAGAAACATTGATGAGAGAGAGCATCAACAGGGTCACCTCCTGCATGCCCCCCACTGGGGATTTGGCCCATATCCTGGGCATGTTCCCTGACCAGGAATCGAACCAGCGACCTCTTGGTGCATGGGTCGATGCTGGGCTACCAACATCCTTATTAAAGTACTAAAATTCTTCTCTATAATTCTTATATTTCTTTGTTTTAATATCCATAAATCCAGTGTTTTAGATTATCCACATAAGGTACAGACAGAAAGCTAACAGTAAATTATTTCTTCCTGAAATTACTAAGCTTTGTCAGATCCCCAAATATTTTCTCTTAAATCAATAATTAACATTCAAGTAACAACTGATTCCTAATGGACTATGACTAACATGACCTGAAATGTCACAGGAACAATGCGTAAGTAAGTGGACATGCAGAAACTGCACTTCTTGTCCTATTCTCACTTTGAATGTGAAAAAGTCCCAGGGGGTAACTTTTTATATTTGGTAGGCCAACTATCAGAATGATCTGCACAGGAGAATACCGACAGTCAAGTGCTAATCCTACTATTTGGAGAAAAACACAAAAAGCAGAAATGAATTTTTCCAAAAAAAGGTTACTGATGTTTATTAGAATGGCACTCTATTCATTGCTGGCTTGTCAAGAATCAAACTATATCATTAAAAATTTCAGGCTACACATAATTAAGTATGTGACCCAATTTCAGTCAAGCCCTACTTCATACATGGAAACTAAAAAATTGGAGACCGTTGATTTCGGGCCACTGCTCACTCTACAGGTCATGAAGTGTGAAGCTTCTCATTGACCAGATGAAATACAACACAGCATTATTTCATGTAATTACTACAACTCTGCGAGGAAGAGCACACCTACTCTGTTTATAAACTTGGCAACCAATGGTCAGATTAATTATTGAAAAAGGATAATAAGATATAAAAGTTAGCCCTGGCCAGTTTGGCTCAGCGGTTACAGCGTTGGCCTGTGGTCCCAAGAGACCAGGGTTCAGTTCCCACTAAGGACATGTACCTTGGTTGCAGTTTGTCCCCGGCCCTGCTTGGTCGTGCGGGTGGTAGCCACTCAATGTGTCCCTTTCACATTGATGTTTCTCTCTTTCTCTCCCTCCCACTCTGTCTGAAAAAAAAATAGAAAAATGTCCTTGGGTGAGGATTAAAAAAAAAAAAAAGATATAGAAGTTATATTTACTTCCCAGAGAGATTTCTTAAGTGTCAAAGGTCCTGGTATTGTATAAAGTATGAGAACTCAGCAGCTAACAGAGTGACCTAGACTAGCAGATTTCCATCCTCACAACTTCTGCAGATATAAAAATTAATATATGTCACCTTAAATGTCATCTTAAGGAGAAGTTTCCTGATTGGAGACAGACAAGTTTCATGTAGACGGGGTCTGCATTAGCAGCTAGTTATTCCTACCCCATACCTCTTGTTATGAGGAGGCAATGATAAACATACATCAAGCATCCAACAGAGTGTGTAACACAAAGGAGGTGTTTACAGGAGGCCCTATTATATCATCTACAATGGGCCTTGTAGGGCAGAAGAGAATCTGAAAGTCCGAGTTTCCTGACTCATAATCCAGAATCCTTTCTACCTGCAGTAAACTTTTTAGTCACCTCCTCATTTCTCCTTCCAACAGGCCCACTTTTGTTTGATGATCCATGTGCAGATTTTGTTTGGTATGGTTTCGGGAAAGCTCTCTCAATCCAACTCTACCCTGGCTCTAAGCCAGGCAATTCAGCACATTCCATCTCCCTGGCCACAGTGACAGGTGTAGGGAATGGCACGTGACCAAAATCAGTTAACTAGAGCGAATCTCAAGATTCTTGCAGGACAAAGATGAATGCAAGAAGAGCAAGTAGATATCTTGTGCTATGTAGAAAGTCAGTCTCAGGGGGAAGCCAATGACAAGAAAGAAAAAGCAAAGAAAAAAATGAACCAACTCCTTGAAAACAGGGCTGTCCTCTGCCTCCTCTCTTGAGGCCCAAGCTGCTTCAAGGCTTTTCAGTTAGAAGAAACAACATACCACCTTTATTATGCCCATCTGAGTTTGGTTTTCTGGTACATGTAACTGATAGCACACCATTACCATGTGCCCCTAATTCCCCAAACCCAGAACTGACCAAGTAAAAAATAAGACCTGGGTTATAATTTTACATTCCTCATATTAATGTAAAAATATTATCACAAACAAGTTTGTTGTGCAATATAAATTGCATACATGAAAACCATGTGAAATAGAGAGCACTGAGTCCTTAGTCCATGGCCTTCCAGATCATGATTGGCTCCTTTGCTTTTAGTGGGACTTGTAATGGCAAAGTGATGCCTGAGAAAAGTCTGCAGTGCTGCTGCCATCAGATGACTGAGCTAACTTGGTCCCTCCTGCCCGACACTACTGTAGTTGACCAACTCTATCTGTAGTTGTGGACAGCAGGGTTGTTTCCTATTCCTCACATCTAACTTTGGAAGTGAGAAACCTCACTCAATTGAAATCTTCAGAAAAAAGAAATCATACGGCTAAGTCAAATCAACATTTCAAAAGCATTATGTTGGCAAAAACCTTAATGAATATTTGTCATACTTGCTTTATCTCATTCATATACATACATGCATATAAAGAAATATGTGTACATTTACTTTTTGGCTATGCTATTTCAACAGAAATCTTACTCCTAAATACTTTAGCATGCATCTCCATGGAAAAAGACATTCTTCTATAGAAGTGCAACCCCATTATCACATAATTCCCTAATATCTAATATGTAGGTTATATTCAAATTGTTCTACTTATCCCAAATGGCTTGAATAGTTATTTTTTGAACCACAGTCCAATCAATGTTTATACATTGTATTTGCTTTTTGTATGTCCTCTATATGTGTCAACCAAGGGGAAAAAATTAGGCTCCATTCATTTACTTTTTCCAAAAATATGTAACACGATTCATCTGACCAAATATGATAGTTTTCTCCAAGTTTGTCTCCATGAACCCCTGGAGAACATACCCAAGGGAAAAACCTACCTGGGGGACTGAGAAGCTGAAGAACTTCAGTGTGTTCCATAGCCTGCAGGAAGTCACTCAGCTCCGAGACTGTACAACCTTTTTCACCCATTAGCTTCAGGAGACATAGGCTTGGGCTTCCTTCAGGCTCCAAGACCTTAAGAGAACATTGCTCCAAGTCCAGACAACTAAAAACAAGAGAATGAATTCAAGTCAACAATTTTCTTTAATATAATAATATGCCTGCTCTATGTTTGGCCCTAGAGGTGATGTAAGAAATAAGTCGCAAGGCACTAAGTGGTGAAAAACTATTTACATTGCAAATGCTACTGTTCTTTCTTCCTTCTTCTGCCATCATAGGGAATTCCTCTTTATTCCTATGTCCAACTCAGCTCCAGTGACTACTAAATCAGGAGAGAGAAATCTAGAAAGTTGATGTAAGAGAAATTTGGCATTGATTTTGAACAAAAATTTTACCTTTAACTTGGGAATAGGGAATAGGAAGTGCAGACACATTTCTCTACTCTTTGTTGTACTTATATAAAATATAAGATGACCCAAAGAGGCATACATCTTTGAGACATATTGAAAAATGTAAAAATTAACATATAGTATTTTGTATTAACAAAATAGCATGTCTCTGTGTGTATTCACATGACAAAAGTAAGATACAGTACAGTGCATGTCCTGTATGATACTATTTTATTTTTTCATCCTCACCTGAGGACACTTTTGCATTTCAGCTAGAGCAGGAGGGAGAGAGGGAGGAAGAGAGAGAGGGAGAAACATCGATGTGAGAGAGACACATCGACTGGTTGCCACCCACACAACCCCTACTGGAGCCGGGGACTGCAACCGAGGTACGTGTCCTTAGCGGGAACCAGACCCGGGTCTCTCTGGACTGCAGACTGATGCTCTAACCGCTGAGCCAAACTGGCCAGAGCTGTGTGATACTGTTTTATTTAACAAGAATATGTGTTTGTTCTTATATACGCACAGTACCTTCGAAAAATTCACTAAGAAACCGGTAGCAGTGGCTGCCCTAGAGTTGGGACCAGGGGAGCAGAGCTTATGGCCAGATGATTCACTTTTCACTATAAAGCTTTTTGTACTATTTAATTTTTACTATGTACACTCATTTTTTTTCAACAATAAAAAAAAATTAATGCTATTGACATTCAAAGGACTTGTAAGTGTCCAGAAATACCCTAACACAGGGGGCAAGCAAACTATGGTTTGTGGGCTAAACCTGTCCAGTCACCTGATTTTGTAAATAGTTTGATTGGTACACAGATATACTCATTAATTTACATACAAACATAAAGGGCTGCTTTCCTGTTACAACAGCAGAGTTGGGTAGTTTGTCTGCACGTTGAACATATTTATTATTTGGCTCCTTACAGAAAAGTCTACTATCCCCTGCTCTAAAGAATCTTTACATTCTGTCACATTGTCCTTTTGTTAAAACTATTCTTTTTTTCATGTCAGTGTTTAAGATACATATACAGTGTTCTTTTCTTTTAAAAATATTTTATTTTTATTTCTTTTTAATCCTCACTCAAGGATATGTTTTTATTGATTTTTAGAGAGAGAAGGGGGGTGGGGAGAAACAGCAATGTGAGAGAGAAACACTGATTTGGTTGACCCGGGATCTGCAACCATAGAATGTGCCCTGATCAGGAACTGTTTCAGCTTTACCTTAAAAATGTTTTTGAGTAGCTATTATTTGGTAACCTGATATTGTCCTCTAAGGCCTTCTATCACTGTATTAACTAGGTATTCTTTTCTCTCTCTCTTTTTTTTTTTTATCCTCACCCGAGGACATTTTTCCTTTTTTGTTCAGGTAGAGTGGGAGGGAGAGACAGGAACAGAGAGAGAGAGAGAGAGAGAAACACCGGTGTGAAAGGGACACATCGAGTGGCTGCCACCTGCACGACCAACCAGGGCCGGGGACAAACTGCAAACGAGGTACGTGCCCTTAGGGGGAACCGAACCCGGGCCTCTCGGGACCGCAGGTCGACGCTCTAACTGCTGAGCCAAACTGGCCAGGGCGGTATTCTTTTCTAAGTATCCTAGTTGAATTTATATATTCGATATTCTTGTTAAATGCAAATCTTCATAATATAGATCACCCATTCCCAAATTCTGCACTGGAGACCAGTGGAGCACATCTGAAGTCCTTGGTAAAATAACAAAAATAAGGACAAGACTGTCTTTTATTCAAAGATTGTCTTTCCTACAGTTTTAAATGTTAAAGTGTCCCTTATTTTATGAAATAATGGTGACTACAATGGTAGCAAAAACAAAAGCTGAAGATGCCCATTGGTTCTCTATTTTGTAAAAATTTCTCTTCCTAGTCCTTGTAATACCCAGGTCAAGGAACCAGTATTAGAGACAATGTAAGGATAACCAATTTTTCAAATAATGAGAATATGAGATTTATAAAAACAAAGATGCTGTATGCTAAATATGATTCAGAAAGGTTATCAGAATCTGATATATGAAATTAAGAAACCACCCCATCAAATGCAACCAATTGATGCCTTAATTAATGTTTATACTGATCTATAGAAAATGAAAACAAATTGTCTTCCCCCCAAAAACAAATAAAGATAGAACTGAAGTGGACAATAATTTCTCTTCCAAAACAAGAGGCACAGGAGAAAAACAAATTTCTCTATCTCCTTTCCTTTGACAAATTTTCCACACGAGCACAGGCTTTCAGCTAAGATGATGCTCATACACACCCAACTTTTCTTTCTTTCCTTTTTTAGTTACATTCCTGTAAGACTGTGCTTTGAAGTGGTTTCTACTAGCCCTAACTTGGAATTTCTGACTTGATTTAAAAGAGTTTTATTGAACAAAATGGACTTTGCTTTTAAAAAATATATCTATATTTATCTTTACTTTAACAAGTATATAATCAAATAAAACATATTATTCGCCCTTTAAGGTACAAATTTAGGTTCTTATGCTTCTCTTTTTAGTACTTTTACTCTTTGGAATCTCTATACTTTAAGATAAATCAACAACTACTCACTTAAAAATAAGCCAGCCTTTTCCCCTAGGTATTGAGGATATAGAAGCAAATAAAACAAAACTCCCTATCCTCCTGAATTTTTCTATAGGAGGACACATGGACACACACACACACACACACACACACACACACACTTCTCCCTTTGTATATCCATTCGCCCAATGGTCATAGGTACTTTGGAGGAAAACAAAGCAAAGCAGAGGGACAGGCAATGCTGGAGCAGACGCAGGGGGTGACTTTAAGTAATGTGATCAGAGAAGAATTCATTTAGAGGGTGACTTTTAAGCAAACATTTGAGGGGGTGAAGGAACAAGTCATGTGGTTCATCTGTGAGACCACCTCAGCTGAGTAAATAGCAGTACAAAGACCCTACTGTGTTCAAGGAGAAGCAAGAAAGGTTTGAATAGAGAACAGGAGGCGGACCATGTAGAAAATCAGGTCCAAGAGTTAAGTGGTGGCTAAGTGGCGTTTTCACTCGGAGTTGTGAGCAGGGGAAAGATAAGACCTGATTTAATGTTTAAAAGAATCCTTCTTACTGATATATTGAGCACAGAATGGAGGCGAGGCAAAGCAGGAGGAGAAATAGGCAGCTACTGGAATAATCCAGATGAGAGGCACTGGTGGCTCACCCTAGTGTTGTAGCTGCAGAGGTTGGGCTCTGGATTTATACTGAAGGAACATCAGACAGGGTCCGTTGAGAAAATGGATGTGGTATGTAAAAGAGGAATCAGGAAAGACTCAGAAGTTTTGGGCCCCAGCAATTGGAAGGGTGTAGTTGCCATTTACTGAGATGCAATAAACTGCAAGACAGAGGTTTGTTCAAGTTTTTGATATGGTCTGTTTAAAACGTCTATTAGTCATTCAAAAGGAGATGGCAAATAGACTTCTACACATATGAATGGGGAGTTCAAAGCAAAGATAGGGCTTTAAGATATCAATTGAGCTGATCAACCTAAACATAGGTAAAGTCAGGAGATTAAAGGATAACAAAACCAAGAAGGGGACTAGGTGAAGTGTGGATAAAGAGATACAAAGCCTGAGCCCTAAGGCAGAGATAGAGATTGAAGAGACAGAGACAGGAGGAAAGCTTTTGTTCCATTACAGACGCCCTGAGGGCAGCATTTCTGCAGCTCCGGAGCACCTTCTGTTCAGCTCGTAGTATGCAGTGACTGACCAGTTCCCTGGGTCCATGTTCCACGGACCCACTTCTAAGCTCCCTCCTTCAAGGATTTTAGGCAGCTCTGTTATCTTTGGGGTTCCCCTGTTCTATGTCACCAAAGACTTTAGCTTCGACAAGACACTCAGAACCTAGGCCTATCTACATGGATAGCAGAGTGTTCAATATTAGCTCATCCTGGAATGGAATCAGAGCTGAGTTTATACTTAGGGCATTCCCATGTGTACATGGTTGTGGGGAGCTAAACTACTATATGCAAAAATTTATTCTGAGTCATTAATAACCATCTGAAAACATTTACGATTGTTCCTAATCCATGATGGACAGTTCAGAACAGATTCTTATGGTTTATTTATTCTCATCCTCATCTAGTTTGAGGGAGGATATAGAGAGTCAAGAAAAATGTGAAAGGAAACAGAAAAGGCAACCTTTTGAGGTTTTAGGGCTGTGGGTCCAGTTACTTGGAGAAAAGCACTTCACATTTTCCTGGGAACTGTTACCCACTTGGACTCTCACACTCCAATTCCTAGGTTTGATTCTGGAGAAGAATACCCTTAGGACCCTCTACTGTTATAGGTGCTCTGCTACCATTAGTATGAAATGACTTTAAAGTAACTTTTTTTTTTTGTCTTAGAGTAAGCACCATCAGCTTCCCGTGCCACCCCAGTTGTCACTCTAGCTCCCAAGTTCCCAGTGCTAAACTTTTGTTAAATCAGTTTAATTCTGATTTCAATAGGTGTATGAGCTTAATGTTCCCCAATTCTTCAACCTTCAGGGTGTCCTGACTCGCCTCACCACAATGAACCTACTGTGAACTAACCTTCAGCATCCTGGAAGATGGGAAACTCCAGCTCTCTCTTCCCAGACTTCCCACCCTGAAATTCCAGATTCCACAAATGCACGCCCTTCGTTGCTTGTCACCTCTTGTTAGGCAACTGCCCTTCTCTCTATACTACCTTCACCAGAAATGTAACCTCAAAATTTTCTGTTAGTTCCCCCAAAGAAAGTTAACACCATTCTGTAGCCTTTAGCAAAACTTGATGGAAGGCTTAGGGAGGAAAACTGAGCACCTGATGTCAGGTGTCTACTACTTTTAGATTCCATCAGCTCTGTTTCTTCAGTGGCAGAGCCTTACTTGCTTCTCTCTCCTTCGTCACCAAATAGGAGCCCTCGTCAGGAAAATGTACTAGATAATATTACTAATGAGCCGATCACAGACCTGGTCATCTGACTCAAAGAAGACAACTTTTTACATTATTGTAAGTCTAGAGATTTAGAAATCTATGGAGTAATAGTATTTTGGACAGCCAAAAGCAAAATGTGCTTTTTGTAGAACAGAAAAAAATTATGCCATCCGTCTACTCAACTTTGTGAGCTTATCACTTCTTGATTTCATCCTCTTATCGTTACTCCTCTCTATGGCCTAATAATCCCAAATCATCACAACTCTAGTTTAACTCAAACTCTCTGAAATTCAGTTGTTGTGAGGGTTAAAGTAGATAATGCATGTAAGCACTTAGTTCACTGGTATATACTAAGTGCTTAATAAATTATAAAAATTTGTTATTATTATTCACACCTAACATAGCACTTAAACATGTTATTTGTGAATGTTCCAGAATGACAGCCCATTACTAAACCCTTATGAATAGGAGGTAAATATTTGTCATTTTTTGTATCTTCTGGAACTTCTACCGAATAATAGGCACTCAATAAATATAATTTTAAAAAATCCTCACCTAGGATATGTTTATTGATTTTAGAGAGGAAAGGGGAGGGAGGAGGGGGAAAGAAAGAGAGAGACAAAACATTGATGTGAGAAACATTGATAGGTTGCTTCCCGTACAGGCCCTGATTGGGGATGGAACGCGCAACCTTTTGGTGTACAGGATGACACTCCAACCAAGCGAGCCACCCAGCCAGGGCTAAATACAATTTTGAATGAATTGTCTCTTCTCTTAATTCAAAAGTATTTATAGAGTGTCTACGACAGGTTCTATGCATGATACATAGAATCTTAAGTAATGATTCCTGCTCTCAAGGAGTTTATAAAGAAGTACACAAATAACTATAGTGTAAGACAAAATTTATTCATACAAGAAGTTAAAAAAACAAAAACAAAAAACTTCTAAGGCCCTGGCCAGTTTGGCCCAGTGGTTGGAGCGTCGGCCCTCAGACCAGAGAGTCCTGGGTTTGGTTCCCGCTAAGGGCATGTACCTTGGTTGCACTTTGTCCCCAGCCCCATGGGGTGGTGTGGGTGGCGGCTAGTCAATGTGTCTCTCTCTCATCGATATTTCTCTCTCTTCCTCCCTCTCTCCTTCCTGCTCTATCTGAGGATCAAAACAAAACAAAACAAAACAAAACAAAAGCTGCTAAGGGTTCAAAGGCAGACCAAAATCATAACAATGGTACAGAACAGTGGTTCTGGGAACCCCTTGTGCAGTTCCTGAGACCCTTTCACAGGATCCACAAGGTCAAAATGATATTTCAAAGTAACACTAAGATGTTATTTATCTTTTTCATTCACTCTTTCAAGGAGTGTCCACTGGAGTATCTGGTGTTACATGACCTGTGATAGTGCAACAAATCGTGTAACAGACTTAATGCACAAGCCAACTCTCTGTAATTGAACCAAGACATTAAAGAGATTTGCAAAATGTGAAACAATGACACTCTTCTATTTTTTTTGTTTTTCCACAAAACATGTTATTTCTGTTAACACGTAATGGGTTATTCTCAAATAAGTTAATCCTTTTAAAATGTCTTAGTTTTAATTCCTAAAATGCCAAGTATACACTGTATGTATGTATGTACTATATAGAATTTTTGGGGTCCTCAAAAATTCTTAAGATTTTAAAGGCGTCCTGAGACCAAAAGTTCAAGAACCACTAGTAAAGCGGTTCCAAGCCCGGTAACAGGAAAACAGTTTCAAGTATAATCAAATGTTCACGGTGAAGTCAAGAAGCGAACTTGGTGAGTGGGTTTGATGGAGGAAGACGTGAGTTTAGTTTCAGTCTTTCCCACCAGCCTTCTCTCCCTACATAAAAACCTTCGTGTTCAACTCCTGCACCCCAAACCTTTCCTTCTTACCATCTCTTTACCTGCTCTTTCTCCTAACCGCCCCGAGGTCGCCCAGGTCTGTGTCCCTCTCCTGTCAGTTTGCATTTTAAGTCCGTCGGCATTACTGCCCCATCTATGGTCCCCGGGGAGCCTCACTTCTCTCACTATCCTCCAGGGTCGGGTCAACCCACTTCTGCGGCTCAGCTCGAGGGGAGGGGCGCGGCGAAAGGGTGTGAGCGCGGGTCCACCCAAGAATCTCCCGCATTGCCAGCGCTTTCCCGGGCTCAGGCGCTCTGCCCGGCAGGTCGGCGAAGTTCTCCCCACGTCCTTCCCTCCGCGCTCCTTCCACACCAGCGCCCCTTGCACGGTCCCGCGTGGCCGTGACGTTCTCCACCACCAGCCTCGGTCCTCCCACCGCACTGTGCTCGCGCGCCCCCCGCCCAGGTCCGCCCACCTCCGGCGCCTCACCTCAGCCGGAGGCGCCCCCGACTCCCCGCCACCTCGGCCAGCCTCCTCCAGCCCCGGCCCTCGGGCGCTCGGTCCAAGCTCCCGCTGAGCCTCCGCAGCAGCGGCTCCGGAAGACGGTTGAGGGTCGCGCTGCTCGGAGCGGAGAGCGGCGGTCCCGAGGGCGCGAGCGGGGGCAGCTGCGAGGCCGGGGGCGACAGGGCCTGCTGCGGCTCCCCGCACAGCGGCATGTCCCGTGCCGGCGACGCCGCGACTGCCGCTGCTCGCATCGCGGGCGTCAGCTCCAGCGCACCTTCCGCTCGCCCCCTCGCTCGCCGCGGCGGCAGGGCGGAAGGACGAATCGGGAGGCGCTGCACCGCACACGGAGGAGGAAGCTTCGCTCCCCGCCCCGCCGACACAGATTTGCTGGGGGGAGCCGGCCGGACCGGCCGCGCCAGCCGCACCGAGGGGGCGGGGCTTGGCGGGGGCGGGGGCGGGGCCGCCACTGCGCGCGTGCGCGCGACCGCGCACCTCCCTCGCCTGCCCTGCGGCCTCTGCGCCTGCGGAGGCGCGCGCTTCAAACCCCGGGAGGTGGGGTTCTGGCTGCGCAGGAAGAGTTGGGTGGTTGCCGCTGGAGGAGGAAGCGGCGGAGGAGCTACGCCCGGGCGGGTCAACTACGGCGGGAAAGCCTGAGGCGTCGGGGTTTCCCGAGACCGTGGGAGAAGGATTGCCTCACGCCAAGGAAGGGAGCGCTCGGCTCTCCATCGCCCGCCTTGGCCGCTTGCTCCAGGGGCCGCGCTCCGCTGACTCAGTGACTTGCGTGTGCCCGGCGCCGCCACTAGCATCTGCACTGGACAGCCTCAGCGGAGGCTTCCTTGTTTTAGGGATTGATGTGTGTGTGGCCTTGTTCAGGGAAGTGGTGATAGACATCCAGATACTCAATGGAAGTTGCCCGAACACAGTGGAAGTTGCCTAGACACACACACGCGCGCGCGCGCGCGCGCACACACACACACACGCCCCCCAAATTGGGCTGTGGCTTATTGAGAAGATCCTGGAAAGGATTATTTTAAGCAATCCTAAGGAGTTGTCTGGTTTCCTGCCAAGTCAGCCAGCCAGCCACAAGCTTCATAAATCAAAGCAGGCAACCTTACAGAGATTACCCTCCCTGGAAGGGTCCAGCATAGATAAACACTGACCTAAGATGCTCTCCCAATCGTAGCAATATTCAAGGTCGTTGTCCCATTGAAAGCTATAGGGTCGTTGGGACAAAAGCAGCAACTTACAAAGTGTGACCGGCCAAGTAGCTCCAGGACACAAGGCTTCCCGGCACAATTTCTGGTGCAGTAGCTTTTTCATCACAGGACAGCAGGATTTTCCGTAGCAATAATTTGTACACCTAAATTCTCAGTACCTGTTGGCAAGGTGGTTGCTTCACATACAGTCTCTACCACATTTTAGCACAAGGAATCGCTATACTTTTTCATCACTGTGAGTTCAGAGTTCAGAATGCAGTATAATGGCTAAGTGCACAACCTTTGGATCCAGAAAGATCTGCTTGATTCTAGCTTTAAGACTTTGAATAAGTTACTTAATTCTCTGCTTCATCTGTCGCAATGGTACTGAAAGTACAGTATATAGAGAGTTGTTACTAGAATTACTGGAGTTGACTTATGTAAAGCACTTAACTCTGCTTGGCACAGAGTACATAATAAACGATAGCTATTATACTTGCAAATGTAAAAGCTTGTGTCATACTTAGTTTGCCTTGGTCTGGGAGAAGTAATGCAGTGTGTATCCTCTCAAAATTGCAACGCTAATTTTGGAAACAACATAATAAACAGTAATTCAGCTTCCTTTTCTATATACCAACCATTTTGTTTATATAAAGACAGACCAGACTGGATGTCGACAGATATATATTTGGGAGTTGTTTCTCATTAGGGAAAGTGACAGATCTTTGGAAATCCAGACAATTGGCAGGAAGCTTGTGGTTTCATTCTATGGAAATCTATTGATGTAATCTTCAAAACACTCACAAATCTGGAAACTGACTCATAGATTTTTTTCCTTTACACAATCTGTTTCTACATAGCACTCTAACTAAAAATACCAAAACAACATATTAGCTCATATCTTGATAGGTTTTCAGTGGTCCAGCTCAGAAGAAAACCTACAGGTCTTGGGATCCATATACAACAGAAGGAAAGGAAACAGGAGTCTTATGATTTGAATGGCATTCGTTGTCTCCCACTCTTATTCCATGCCCCACACCCTTTGTGACCTCTGACTCAGTCTCTGTGTGAAGGCCACTGAGTCTCCTCTCAGCCATAAGGATCTCCACATCCCTTACAGCCCCTTCTTGCTGGCATCTTCCAAAGGATTAGGGGAATTTCCCCATTTTGATTTCAACTTTGGAATAGAACCCAAGCATTGCACTAGTATTTAATATTCTTCCTTCACAATAAATCACGCATGGCAAGGACTATATTTACTTGTCTAAATTCATTCATTCAGCAAATATTTATTGGATACCTACCTTGTTCCAGGCTCTGTGCCAAATACTGGTAAATGATGGTTTTAATATTTGTTTTGCTTTTATTATGGCTTTATTGTTTAGAGTAGTTTATTTATTTTAATGTATATATTTATTGATTTTAGAGAGAGAGAGAGAGAAAGAGAATGTGAGAGAAACATCAATTTGTTGTTCCACTTATTTATGCATCCACTGGTTGCTTCTTGTATGTGCCCTGACTGGAGATTGAACCTGCAGCATTGCCATATTGAGACGGCACTCTAACCACTGAGATACCCAGACAAGGCTTTTAGAGCAGTTTTAGGTTCCCAGCAAAATTGAGGAGAAGGTGCAGAGAGTTCCCATGTACCCTCTGCCCTCACACACAGCCTCCCCCATTCATCAACATCTCCTATTAGAGTGGTATGGTACATTGTTACAACTGATGAACCCACGCTGATACAACATAATACCTTAAGTTCATATTTACATTAGGATTCACTTGTGGTATTGTACATTCTGTGGGTTTAGGCCAGTGATTTTCAACCTTTTCATCGCATGGCACACATAAAATTTTTATTCATTCACACCAGACAGTTGTTGTGTTGGCTGTTGTCATTTTCTTAATGTGACAATCTAAGGGAAAAGTGGTCATTGTCCCTGACTAAACAGTCAGGTATTGCATGTTTTAAAAGTTCTTGCTGCACACAGTTGAAAATCATTGGTTTAGACAAATGTATAATATAATGTATCCATCATTACGATATCATGTAGAGTATCTTCACTGCCCTAAAAATTCTCTATGCCCTGTCTGTTCTTCCCTCCTCCCTCCCAGGCCTTCACAACCACTGGTCTTTTTACTGTCTCCATATTTTTGCCTTTTTCAGAATGTTGTATCTTTGGAATCATACAGCCTTTTCTGATTGGCTTCTTTCATTTAGTAACAATGCATTTAAGTTCCCTCCAAGTCTTTTCATGGCTTAATAGCCCTGAATAATATCCCATAGTCTGGATGTACCACATTTATTCACTCACCCTCTGAAGGACATCTTGCTTGCTTCTAAGATTTGGCAGTTTTGAATAAAGTTTCTATAAACACCTGTGTGCAGGTTTTTGTGTGGGCATAAGTTTTCAACTCCTTTGGATAAATACTGAGGAGCACAATTACTGGATTGTATGGCGAGAGTATGTTTAGTTTAGTAAGAAACTGTCAAAATGTTTTCCAAAGTGGCTGTACCGTTTTGCATCAGCAATGAATGAGAATTCCTGTTGCTCCACAACCAGGCCAGCATCTGGTATTGTTGGTGTTGCAGATTTTGGATAGGATAGTTTTTTGTTTGTTTTTTAAAAAGAAAGTTAAAATCATGACTCTCAACAAATGTACAATGAACACGCGTCAAAGATTTTATTTAACACATTAGTGAACAAGGGAACCAGGAAGGTGTTACAACCACTTCAAAAGAGAACCTAAAAACAAGATAAATACGTAAGCCCAGGAGGATGCTGAAAAGAAATAGCTTAATAGATGCAAAACTGGCTTCTTCCACAGTAGGGGAGAGATATCAAATACTGAGGAGAAAGTACCTGTGAAACAGCAAGAGAAAAAAAATTCCTCATTTACAAGGGAAGCCCCAGCAGGCTATCAGTGGACAGTTTAGCAATGCTTTCTGAGATAAAAGACATTCATATACCCAACACACTCTCTTTCCTATTCAAGAAGACATAGCTGAGCACTAGTGTTATGATAGAATAATACAAGGTATCATGAAAGATACGGCATTATGATCGGAAGAGTCTTGAATCAGGTCTAATTTATTGTCTACAAAGCAAATCATTCAGAAAATCTGATACTTAAATGATCAGTACTAACAAATCACTGGGGACACATTTAAACTGAAGGAACTATAGTTGAGGTGATATTTCTCAAGGCCATGAGACACTGTTGGGGTTTTCAAAAGGGTACTAACTACATTAATACACCCAATAGTCCTTTGACTTTGTGACAATACCAACTGCATTGGGCTATAATGCAACTTATGGAGAAATTTATTCAGTAATATCTACCAACTACCAATCAGTATGCGTAGGATGTCAGAGGGACGCTGGCCACACCAGTGTTCCTCATCCTTGGTCACACATAAAACTCACATGAGAGGATGACGACAGTTCCTAAAAAAAGTTAAACATAGAACGACCGTGTGATCCAGCAACCCTCCTTCTGGGTATATACCCCGAAGAACTGAAAGCAGGGGCGCAAACAGATCCTTGTGCACCAGTACTCACAGCAGCATTGCTCACAACAGCCAGAATGGAAACAGCCCACATGTCCATGAACAGGGGAATGGGCAAGCCAAAGGTGGTGTATACGTCCAATGGAATATTATTCAGTCTTAAGAAGGAAGGAAATTCAGACACGTAGAATATAAATAAACCTAGTAATCATTATGCAAAATGAAATAAGCCAGTCACCAAAGGACAAATACTATATGATTCCACTTTTATGAGTTACCTAATAGAGGCACATTCATAGAGGCAGAAAGTAGAAGAAAGGTTACCAGGGGCTGGTCGAAGAGAGGAATGGGGAGTTAGTTTACTGGGGACAGAGTTTCTGTTTGGAGTGATAACAGTTCAGGAAATGAATCACGGTGATGGTTGCACAACATGGTGAATGTACTTAATGCCATTGATTTCTGTACTTAAAAATGGTTAAAATGGTTAGTTTTATGTTATACATAGTTTACCACATACACACAAAAGAATCATTCAAGGAACCTTAGAAACCTCTGGATACCTAGACCACCATCCCCAGAGACTCTGATTTTAATTGGTCGGGGGTG